CCCATCTGCTTCCTCCCCTGAAACAATGGGACAAAAGGGAAAAAAATTATTGTGGAAAATGCCTCCAGGACTATGCCCTCATGTGCTCCATATTTCAAAAGAGAACTGCGTAGTCACTGGTCTAAGCAATCCCTCTGGGAGGCTGAGCCAGGGGTTGGGAGTTAGAAAGGTTGAAGGGGAAGAGAGAACCTAAACTTATCCTTGAAAAAGAACCAGCTGGACTCCAGGGACCCCACAGCTCACCCAGCTTGGGGTTGGCATGCCCTGAGGCACCCAAGAAGGCCTTGGGAGCCATGGGAACGCCTGGGGTGGAGGGCGCCAGGCCAGAACCCTCCCCTCCCCCTGAGCCAGGGGTTGGGAGTTAGAAAGGTTGAAGGGGAAGAGAGAACCTAAACTTATCCTTGAAAAAGAACCAGCTGGACTCCAGGGACCCCACAGCTCACCCAGCTTGGGGTTGGCATGCCCTGAGGCACCCAAGAAGGCCTTGGGAGCCATGGGAACGCCTGGGGTGGAGGGCGCCAGGCCAGAACCCTCCCCTCCCCCCCCCCGCCCCTCCCACCTTCCGCAGCGATTCAGCCCCACTTGGCTGTGACTTCTTGAGGCCATCAAGGCAATCACTCTCAAGTCCGGTTTTGCAACACCCCAGAGGGCTCGCAGGGTGGCATAAGAGTCTGAGTGTGATCTCTGAAACACACGCGCCATTCCGTGATTCTTCCCAAAACAGCAGCTGATGGGGCAAAGGAAAGGGATTCCAAGAAGTCAAGAAGCTTCAAAGGACATCGCTGCTTCGGGGAGTGACCTTGTTACTCAGAGGAACTGTGTAAAATGTTTTCATTTTCAGAAAAGGCAAGATTTCTCAAGCCCCACACAGGAGAACACCTGAGTTTGGAGAGAAAGTAGGCCGAGAAAGGAAAACCCGTAAGAAGAGAAACCCCAGGGCCCTGAGCTAGGGCTTCTGGGCTGCAGAGGGATGTTCCCATGCTTGGTCTCCCGAGGTGCTCCAGCACTCTCTGCTGTTTTTCTGGCTGGTTATCCCTTCCCGGGCATAGACAGGGTGGAAGCCTCCTTCTTCTGCCACTTTTGTGATTTTCTGGTTTTAATTTGATTTTTTTACTAGATAATGTATTGACATCATTTAATCGGGATATACACAATCTACAGGTGTGGTGGTGCACACCTGTAATCCCCACACTCTGGGAGACTGAGTCAGAAGGGTCACAAATTCAAGCCCATTCTGGGCAATTTAGCACATATACTGCCTCAAAATTAAAAAATTGTAAATAAGCCAGGTGTGGTAGACAGGAGGATTGCTGGAATTCAAGACCAGCCTGGATCACAGTGACACCTTGTCTCTAAACAAACAAAGATGTCTCTATATAAAATACACTGGGGATATAGCGCAATATGAAGTGAAGGCCTTGAGTTTAATGTCCATTTCACACACACACACACACACACACACACACACACACACACACACGCATTACCATAGAAAATTGCCTTCATCCATTTTCATCTCCCTAATTGTAACTACCAATAGAATTTTTTTATCTTTATCCTTCCAGTAATATTTTACATATGTATAGGTCAATATGAATAATTAGTCTTTTGTCCTTGCTTTTCTATCAAATGGTAGTAAAATATATCTGCCTTGCTTACTAAAATCCAACTGCCTATCTGTGATCCTTCCAGATCAATGCACAAAAGCTTCCTATTTAAGTATACTCCATCTCATGGACGTTCCATAATCCATGAAACTGTCTAGTGCTGGACATCCAGATCTCTCCCTTCCTCCCTCAACTCTTTCCTTCATTTTACTTCTGAGGATTGAACCCAGGGCCTTCACCCTGAGGTACATTCCCAGGCCCTTTGGAGATCCCAGTACCGGGGATTGTACTCAGGACCTTGCATTTGTGAGGCAGGTACCATGCCACTCAGCTAAATCCCAAGCCCCCCAGTCCTTTTTTATTTTTATTTTTTTGAGACAGGGTCTCCCTAAGTCATTAAATTGCCCAGGCTAGGTTTGAACTTGTGATCCTCCTGCCTCAACCTTCCAAAGTGCTAGGATTACAGGTATGTGCCACTGTGCCCAGTTTTCACGAATAGATGCTTCTGTGACCAATGACTAACCCATTCATTTCGCACGTGTGAAGGTATATTTGTGGGATAAATATCTACTAAGAGAACTGCTATTTTCAAATTTGGAAAACATTGCCAAATTGCCTCCACAGGCATCTTGCTCATTTACCCTCTCACCGTCATTTTTGGTGGCCTGCCTCTGGGCAGTCACCCTAACAACTGGCCCAAGGGAAAGAGTGCTCCTGGACCAGAGAGGTCGTCCAACTCTGGACAGATGCGCACAGTGCCCCAGCGAACATGACCAAGGCCTCAGCTCCCATGACTTTTACTCCGAGCTCTTGGAAGCAGGCGGTGAGCACTGGCCTCTGAGCCCACCGCAGTCAGGCCGCCCCCCAGCCTCCCCGCCCCGGCTGCTCCTCCTGCGCTGGCACTCCAGAGATGCCGTCTCTGAGTCTGGAAGAATCATGACCCGTGACTGAGAAGATGTGGCTGGCAAGGCCAAAAGAGGCAGGGGCCACCCAATATAGTTCAGTAGCAGGGAAGTGCTCTCCCTCCCTGGCGGGTTGCAACATGTAGTCCTATAACCAACACACTGGGAGAGTGTGTGTGAGAGTGTGTGTGTGTGTGTGTGTGTGTGTGTGTGTGTGTGTGTGTGTGAGAGAGAGAGAGAGAGAGAGAGAGAGACTTGGCCAGGAGAAGCCAAGCAGAGTATATGATTGTGGCCTTTCCTTTGTCTAACAATACAGTTATAAAGACACACACACACACACACACACACACACACACACACACACACACGAGGCCTTGCTCATACTGAAGCCCATGCTCTACCATTGAGCTGTACGCCCAGCCCCCAAATTGTGGCTTTATTCTATCTTTTTTTTTGTTTGTTTGTTTTGTTTTTTTTTTTTTTGTCAGTACAGGGGATCGAACTCAGAACCTTACATCTGCCAGGCAGGCACAGCACCACTGAGCTTCATCCCCAGCCCTATTCTACCGTTATTAGTCTACTTGCTTTGCTTTAAATTTTTTATACCTGTAATCTCAGCACTGTAGGAGGCTGAAGCAGGGAAACTGCAAGTTTGGGCCCAGCCTTGGCAACCTAACAACTTAGCGAGAACTGTCTCAAAGAATAACAAGGGGCTGGGGATATAGCTTAGTGTGGAGTGCTTGGGTCAGTCCCCTGTATTGTAAAAAAAAAAAAAAAAAAAAAAAAAATTGGAAGGAAGTAAAAGCCAGGCAGATTTTATTCACATCTCTGTAACCTGCAGTGACTATCCACTCACTGAAACACAAAAGCCCAGAGAAGAAATGGGCTTTTCTACCATCTCACTGTCAAGGTCTATTTCCAACAGTGTGTGGGGCCCCCAGGAGAAGGCTCTTCTTCCAGAGCTCCGCCCCTCACGCCCAGCCAGACTGCGGCTGGTGCCAGCTGCTAGTCTGTCCCCCAGGCTCCCAGAATGGACCAGCAGATGGGAGACTCCAACAACACAGTTTGTTTGTCCCTTTGTCCTACATTATGCGGCCCAGCTGACCCCACATACGTCTGACTGTTTCCAAGGTCTGATCCAGAGGAATATGAAGGAAAGCAGAGGATGCCATTCCCTGGAATCCAGTACTCAGACACCCAAGGGCTGGCCTGGGTCAAGAGCTTACGCTGGTGCTCCACTCAGCCGCTCCCCCCTCACCTCCCCTGGGGCACGTGCTGAGGAAAGGGCTGCTGGTGCCTGAGGGGACAGGCAGCAAGGGTGACCTGTCCTCCAGCAGGAACACCGGTACCTCAGGATCGACCCCTCCAACTAAGAAGGCCGTGTGAGCTGCGCATAGGGATATACAAAGAGGATCGCAAATTCAAGCCCAGCCTGGGCAATTTAGCAACTTAGCAAGATGCTGTGGCAAAAATTATAATAAGTAAAAATAAAAAGGACTTGGTACGTAGCACAGTGTGAAGGCCCTGGGTTCAATTCCCAGTATGTGAGTGGGGGAAGAGGTGGGGTGAGGGAGAAGCATTACTGCCCGGATAGGAGGCAAGGAAAAGAAGTCAAAGTCTGGAGACTGCCAGTACCCAGGCACCATGGTTTGTAATAGCTAAATCTTGGAAACAGCCCAAGTGCCCAGCAACTGACAAATCGATAAAGAAGTTGTGGTTTTTTAAAAAATATAATGGGGTATTCCTCTGCCATGAAGAAGGATGAGCTTCAGACATTTCTTGCTAAATGGATGAACTGAGACCACACTCTTAAGTGAAATAAATTGGACACACATGTTTAAATACCAATTGTTTCTCTGGAGTGAGAAAATGAAAGTGGAAATGAAGGCTAAAATGTACAACAGACATTGGGAAATGAGAAGGAAATGTTCAAAGGGGAAGAGAGGGAAAAGGGAGGAAGGGACACAAAAAAGTGAAAATAGAAGGAAAAATGGAACAAAGCCTTTTTTTTTTTTTTTTTTGGTTTTTT